GTGTAAAGCACTTTGAGTATCCTGATTGCAGGGTTTCCCCTAGGATCTTCTTTTACTCATGGTGGTGGTGGACTGGACTTTATTTATTTATTTATTTATTTATTTATTTATTTATTTATTTATTTATTTGGGAGGGTTGACACAGACATTTAATTATAAAACATTGTTTATTTTATGCTAATCTGAATCAGTTTAGTAGTGTATTTTGTAAATATATTTGACAATTTTGTAGGAATGAACACATTTATTATGTTTATTCAAAATAAACCTCCTGCTTATTACTTCTGTAACATGTTTAAAAGAAAATAATATCAGTAAAAATCCTCAAATCGTCCTGTCTCTACAAATTGTCTTTGTAACACTTCAGAAGAACTCTTAACTCTTGTRGATATAAAAGACAACAGTTAAAAATGCAACTCTCTGACTCCACACCGGGGTCTGTGTTGGGGATTCTTGCTGTATCAGAGTAATTATTGATGAGGTAACCATGCTATAGCTTCACATGTCGTGTCTTCCTTGAAAGAAAAAAAAGTAGCTTGCAAAGCTGTTGCATCAGACAGTTTTCATGGTGTGTCACATCACACACACATACATGCCTTGCTATCTTTGGGAGGACTATACACACACACACACACAGAGCACTTACAGCCTCACTCTGCACACAAGATCCCACGGTGTTGGTTTTTCAGAATAAAGTATCTTAACATTTTATTGATGTTTTAAATAGGATTTCAAAGTCTGATTATCGTTAGTAAAAGTGTGCAAAAATAGGATATAAATATATATGATATGCTTTACATTGTTTTAGCCTAATATAGGCCTATTATTTAAAAAAAACAACTTTATTCTAAAAGTGTGGCGGCCATGATTTTTGCCGTAGCGGTGCACCACGATCAGTTACATGTAGGGAAAACCCTTCTGATTGGGTAGAAATGTGCAAACAAGTACAGTCTACTTACAATTTACATGTATCTTAATATTTCATTGATTTTACATAAACTGCAACACGTGTGCTTTAGATACAGAGCCTTTAGCAGCCAAAGTCAACAAACTTGTTCTAAACAAAACCAACTGAATACTTAAAAGTATTTAGGTCCTGAAAAGCTGATGTCAGTGTTTTTTTTTTTTTTTTTTTTTTTTTTTTTTTTTTTTTTTTTTTTTTTTTTTTTTTTTTTTTGTTGTTTTTTTTTTTTTGTTTGTTTGTTTTTTGGATGAAGATTGTTTTTGTCCGTTTACGTAATCGCACTTCTCTAATAAATAATTTGTTTTAATGTAAAACCTCTGCTCTGCATGTGTGTTCTTCATTCCTCAGGCGATTCGAGTGTTCTTCATGTTGCGGTCTCTGTCACTTCAGCTCCAGGGAGAACCTGAGACTCAGCTCCCTCTGACCAGACCTGAAGATCTCATAAAGATGGATGATGTTTTAGATCTCAGTGAGACACACACAGTGACACCAAGACAAACCAWATAATAACAAATGATAACTTAAATGTTTGTGCATTTTAATCTAAAACCGTCACTTGACTGAAAATTAGACTTGCTCCCTAACAAGAGCCAAAAGAGATGATCTTGTTTACGTCATTTCAGCTATACCGCTTGTATTTGACAAACCTCAGCAATTCCCATCCCTTACAGATTTTTTTTTTGTTTTTGTCAGTAGCTCTTCAGCCCAGAAGGGCGAGCACAGGCTTCGCAGACCCAAATACACGCACATGCAAACATTACCAACCACAGCGACGCAGAGCTGAGCATTACAGCTTCCCACACGCTCTGATAACCTGAACACTTTTCTCTCACTGCGCACAGGTGTGATGCTGATTTGGAAACTTGCACGTGGTTAGATGTGCTGAGAGATATCACGAGTGCAACAGCACAATAATGTGCAGCAGAGAGAGGGTTCTGCCTCATGTACCGAGCATAGAAACKTAGCAAATTAATTCACGTATTAATGTTTATTTACATGTGCATGCATGCATTTGCTATTCATTTTCTGCTGTGTTCTGATTTAAACAGGAACATGTTCTGCAGCTAGTGCCTCATATTCTGCAGTTAGTGCCTCATATTACACTCCAGTGTAGTTTTAACATCTGATAAACAGTAACAGTTTTAAGAGATTTCTCTCTGAGGAGCAGGGTTTACAAAGGTTTACTTTATTTCCTGGATCTKTTCAGTTCTTTATTTCTAATAGTTATTTACCCATGAAGACCTTCACTTGGTAGTTGACTGAAGTCCAGAACATTATATGACATGAATCTGCTGTCAGTCGGTGCTGTAAAATATGTAAAATAGCTCTAAGTGATGCACAATAACGGTGGTCCTCTGTAAAGACATTTGGCATTAACCTCAACACAAATCCACCGCCCACTCACACACTTCTGGTTGGGCTGTTCAGGAAAAAAAAAAACTTTCGTTTAAAGAAAATGTCTTTAAATGGAAAGGTGGGAGGGCAGATGATGTCAGCYAGACAAAGTGAAACATGAGCTTTGTCTGGTTCCTGTGTGCTGTTAAAAACCAACAGTTTCACAGCAGGAAGAACAATTTAAGATTTATTATGTAAAGTGCTGCCTTACAAAAAAGATTAAAAACAGATTTACTCAGAAGGAATCAGTCTATGCTTATCCTAATGTGGAATCAACAGAAAAAAGTGTATCTTTGGACACTTTTACATTTCCTGGTCTTAAAGGATCCCTTATAATTACTTAAAAACATCAATGTACAGAAATATGCACTTGAAAAACATCAAAATATACAGGTAAAAATGCTACCCGATACAGATGAGTTTGGAGTCTGGCCTTAAAGAGAGTCAGAGTTTCAGGGCAGTGAGTTCCAGAGGCGGTGGTGAGGCGAGCGAAAGGAACAATGAAGTGGACAGAGAAGGCCCTGAGGGGARCTGGACTGAGTGGCAATGTGGACAGAATATGATTGGCTCGAAGTAGAAACTGACGAGTATAAGCTCTTAGTCTCATTTCTCCACTTTTTCTTTGTTTCACCCATCAAAACGAAAAAACTGCTCATTACACTAAACATCTGCATTCACAGTCAACAGCTTCTAATGAATGCCTGACCAAAGTTTGGCTCTCTAACATTGTTTAGCTGTTAGAAAAGCTGGTTTGTGTTATCTATCACTCACACTCAGTAGTTTACAACATCTTATTTAACACTGACACCAAGACGTTGGTTGGTGAAACAGCATAATGTYTGAAGATAAACTCCTTGATTCTGGCAAACTTTAAAGCTGTTTTCAGAATTTTAATGGAAAAATCCTGCATGAACTTCAAAGAAGTTTCAACTCTACAATAAAGTTCAATAGTTTTAAAAGGCAAAACACTGCTGTTGTCTGGCACTCCTGGGTCCTGACTTCAGCCACATTTAGACTGTCTCAGTAATAAATATAATAAACAAACATCTTTTTCACAGGATTCAGTCCGTCATTAGTCATAAGAGCAGATATGCCATACACTAAACAAAACTGGAACTCCTGTTACTGTGAGCACACACATCTTTTTCAAGAATTTTTTAAGATGCATAATGGAGATTACATAGTATAATAGGTTATCAGCTGTAGTGTATCTATAAATTTACTTCTGTGAAATGTGGACAGAAAAACACACCTTTTTGATTCAGTGTCTTTGTTTAGTTGGTACTGGTGTCTGCATCTTTTCCAAATACAGATAGTTGTGGCCTTTAAATGTTATCGTGTCATCTGTGTTGAGTCGGCTGCAGTTTCTGTTCTTTTTTGGAAACTGTGATGTAAACCTGTGGTCTGATAACTGGAACAAAGCAGTGGCAGTGACACAGCACTGTGCTTTGTCACCAGTCTGATTTCAAGATCAATTTCTCAATCAATGTCTGTCTTATGCACGTTATGTAGTTAAAATATACACAATTGACTGGATGTGATAAAGCAGGTATCTACACAAACAGTTTGTGAATACTACACTTCCTCTAATAGAAGTCACTTCAAAAGCTTGTTTTAAACAATCTGGTAATGTTAAGAATTTTCTGGGCTGCATTAACAGAAGAACGATTTAAACACTTTCTATTCTTTCTTGTAATGTGGTTAACTAACAAGGCATTCTTAGTAATGGTTTKTAAGGGGAGATTTTTTTATTTTCTTTTTCCTGTGTGGGCAGATTAAAACCTGCTACCTCCCACCCACAAAGTCTCTTTCTGACCATTAGGCTTTCACTGCCCACATTTCACCTCATCATCTAATAACTGCTGAATCATGGTAATTCCACATATCTGTACTTGTATTAACTGATTAGATTAGATTAGATTAGATTAGATTAGATTAGATTAGAGAGACCTTTATTGTCATTGTACAGAGCACAGTGAAATTGAAAAAAAAGTGAAATTTGTAATTGGTTGTTTGGGAACAGAAGAAAATGTTTTCGGTCAGGCAGACAATAATAATTTTCCATCTGTCTAAATGTCGGCTGGTRCATTCAGTGTGGAGAATCCAATCAGACAAATAGTGTCGACATTTCCGCCGAGCTATCAGCTTTCTCCAAGATCAATTCCATCTGGCCAGCAAAGTCCAGGGACCACAGCCGGCCCGCGACCCTCAGTAAGAACCGCTTGCAGACCGAGTCCAGCTCGCACAGAGCTAAAGTCTGAGTGCTGAAAGAACGGCAATCCTTCATATTGGTCAGGCAGCCAAGAGATGGCCTGAATAGCCACCGATGCTGTTTATGCAGAACACCAGGAGACCACCAAGCCAATCTGTAGAATCCAGTGATTGGAATGCAATATATGCTAGTTGAGCAGAGCAGAACAGAGGTCCCACTTTTGACATGCTCTCCCATGGAAAAAAAATTGTTCCAAAAATGTATTGAGACCAACTAACCAAATCCATAAAAATAAATCTATAATTTTTGGTTTCTGATGAAAACGTAGAGGAGGCTCCGAGCAGCAAAGCAGGGAAAAAAAGGGAAGGCTGGAGAGCGGGAAAAAGCGTATTACTCCTCTGAGAGCAGGGGGGGGGAGTCTGTCATGTTGCTTTCAATATAAGAAGAAATGACACAATTTTAAAACTTATTTCATACAAAAGTTTTCTGATGCAAAATTCCACATACATGCATTTATATGCATCGCCACTTGTTCTGCAATAAACTTTATTGCAGAACAAGTGGCTACTTTGGATGGATACTTTATTATAAAGTATCCATCTACCTATCTGCAACCCCAATTCCAATGAAGCTGGGATGCTGTGTMAAACCTAGAAACAGAACATGTTGCAGGCATCAAATGTTTTTGTGATATTATGGACTATAGTTGATGAAATCCCTAAGAAACATTCTTAAACTGTTGGAGTATTTACGCAGTTGTTCACAAAGTGGTGAATCTCTCCTCATCCTTGCTTGTGTATGACTGAGCCTTTCAGGGATGCTCCCTTTATACCCAATCATGACACTCACCTGTTTCCAGTTAACCTGTTCCACTGTGGAATGCTCCAAATGGGTGCTTTTGAGCATTCGTCCACTTTCCCACCTTTTTTGGACCGTGTTGCAGGCATCAAATTCAAAATGAGTGAATATTTGCAAAGAAAAAAAATGTATCTGTTTGAACATTAAATATATTGTCTTTTTAGTTCATTCAATTGAATTATAGGTTGAAAAGGATTTGCAAATCCTGGTATTCTGTTTTTATTTTTGGTTTAAAATGCATTCCCAACTTCATCGGAATTGAGGTTGTAAACACCTATCAGAATTTTTTTTTTTTTTTGGGAATAATTTCATTTTTTACTTGGAAAAATGAACTTTTGATGTCAACCTAACACAAATTTTAGAAGTTGCATCACATTAATAAATAGATGTAACCAGCTGAGTCATTTGTTTCTTTTCTCACTCCTGTTAAACCAGTGTCACCATTGTCTCACAGCGATACACCACACGGTCTGGCAGGTTTGACYAAAGGCAGTGAACCATACAGACACTTGATTGTATGCTGAAGCTTTGTTAAAAAAGCAGCTGAAGTCACATCTCACTTTGAATAGATTTTGTTTTACTTCATGTCACAAAAGCAACAAACCAGCTGAGAAGCACTTTTTTTTTAAATAACCTCCTCCTTCCTGGAGCGGGGGAGCTTTTACTGTCTTACACTTCAGTACATAAAAATTAAAACAAAATTGGTGTTTAAAAAARTCAGTTAAATGTTTGTCACTTTGTTCTGTGTTTCATGTTTACTGGCCAAATATATTCTGTATATATACAGTATATGCTATAGATGCTTTCTGTAGGAGGGAAAACAACATGGGGAGTGGTGTGGTTCTTTCCCATGGAGCTTAACCCATCAAACTTCCCCTTTTTTTGACCATTTGGTTATTACTGTCCCCTTGTTACCATAGAAAATTAAGACTTCCTTCTTATTTCAAATGTACTTTTTATTGGTTTCTGCTTGTATAGGAGTTATTGAGGTTCTTGGTGACCCTTTGATCTTTTAATACACCACATGTTCAACAGACTGAAGCACCATCTGAATGGAAACACCAGRACTATTAATATCAAATGGGAGTCATTTCCACTAGAAAACACCTCAGCTTATTCAAAGAAGGAAATAAGGAAGTAATGCATTTCTCATGTATCGGTGGTKGTTCAGAGTGTGACAGCAGAATACCTGAGAAAAGAAAATCAAGGAAGTAAAAGCCTAAAATCTGTGGGAGGGAAGCTGCATGAGAGTTTAGCTGTGGGTTGTAAGTCTGTTATTACTTGTTTACACTTTGAGCCAGCCAGAGTGGGCGATATGTCAACCAACACCAGCAGTGTCAGATCAGCTTGTCAATAGCTTTGGCTTCACCGAGCTGCTTATACTCATATGGAGCTTTATCATTTCTTCATGTTAGTTCCAGACACGTGGGAGCAAACGGTTATCTTTGTACTTTKATAGTAGGTGCACCTAACAATCTGTGCATTTATACAAACAGTCCTTTTTGTCTTGGTATAAATCTTCTACATGAACACAGAAAATGGCTAGAAAATAACCCTATATCTAATATGTTTAAAAAGCTAAAAACTTATTGTTTTTATTTTTTATTTTTATTTTTGGAGGGGAGGGGGTTTAACTGGTTTTATTCCTTTAAATAAAAGTCAGCATTAATATGCCCAAGTTTTGTTTTTGTTTTGTTTTTTCTTCAAGAAAATGACACATTGGTTCTGAGTTTCATTCAAAACCAAAATGAGTTTTTTTAAGCTTATTTTTAAAGAAGTGTCTCAGAATAATGTTTGTGTTACATAGACTTTTTATTGGTATCAGTGCAAACTAGATGTTCTACTGATTTATTGTTGACTTTTTAAATGGTAGATATTCTTTTAACACTTGGACATTATTAATAGATTTTTTTATTTAGTGCTACAAAACTGATTAAACTGTATTGTATTTAAGAAATTGACCATATATCTGACAGTTTTCCAAACTAGGTAGCATAGCAATAYATTTGACTCTTTGCTTGTCATCTGTTTCAGACAACAGTGATCTAATAGCCTGCATGGTGGTCAGTAAAGATGGCATCCAAGCCCAGAGGTTCCTGGCTGTTGATGTTTATCAGATGAGTCTGGTAGAACCGGAAACCAAACGTCTTGGATGGGGGGTTGTCAAGTTCGCTGGCCTTTTGCAAGTAAGTGAGAAGTGGTTTCTATTTTATGCATTTATGTATAAGTTTATGTATGTGAGTTTGAAGGATGAATGAGTTTTCAAAAGCCCACTTTGGTTTTGGGTTTGCTCTGACTATCTGTTAGTTCATTAACCCAGTCAGAATTACATTAACCCAGTCAGAATTAAACTCTATTTCTCCAAGATAATGATAATTTAAAGAGCTATCTACAACAGGTAAGATATTAATTGTTAATAACCTSGCTCCAAGAAATATGCCTTGAAGGKTTTTCCAACTTAAAGTGCAGCTGAAGATTCAGGAGTGAAGAGGGTGGAGAGTGAGGTTGGTAGAGTAAATTTAAAAAACAAAAGCACAAACTAAATGTCARTGAGTTTTGGATGTGTAAAGGGAATGTTTAAATGTTTCCTATTTTCTCTTTGTTTTCAGTCTGTAAATCACATTTGTTCTTTTGATGCTTTTTCTCACACACTGACTTTGATTTCCTAATCCCGYTCTTTTTCTCCTTCACTAATCTCTCTGATCATTTATCTATTATATATTTACCCAATAGACATCATTTGGTAAATCCAGAACATGTCTGCCTCTACATGTTTCTCTTTCTCCCGCTGTCTCACATTTGTCCTTCCTGTTTGTTGTCATTTGTCTTCCAACGTTTGAGTYCAGTTTTTTAAATTCAATTTTCTTTGGAATAAAACCACAAGAGCACATTCGGGAACACTTTTCCTCAGATTATGATGAGTCAAAGCAACATTAGTCATGTAGTGTAGCAGCTGCAGTCAGGCCTGTTCCATAAACTGTGCTGTTGTCACACTACTATTAGTCTGTTATTGTAGTGACTACTTAGTATTTATACAAGATATTAAGGATTTGATTTACTGTAAGAATAATAAGTTTCATATCTCATTTATGCCTCCCAAGTCATTTTATAAAAATGTGTTTTAGTTAACCAACTTTAACCTTAGTTTTCATGTTACTACCCTTTAAGATGTTTTTGTCTTACAGTTTGAACTCTTTAACTCTAATGTTTTTTTATTTTCTTTTATTTTTTCCATAAAGGACATGCAGGTGTCTGGCGTGGAGGATGACAGCAGAGCTTTGAACATTGTGATTCATAAACCCAGCTCCAATCCCCACGCCAAACCCCTGCCCATCCTGCAGGCCAACTTCATCTTCGCTGACCACATCCGCTGCATTATCGCCAAGCAGAGACTAGCCAAAGGTCGCATCCAGGCCCGGCGCATGAAGATGCAGAGGATTGCAGGTGAGTGAGGGGAAAAATAAACATGAATTACTGTCTATGCAGGAAAGTTTGTGTGAATGTAACCAGTACATTGGGTTTACCAGGGAAACGGGAGAAAAAGCACACGGTAAAAGAAACTCTCTTGTTCTGTGCAGCAGGTTTCACAGAAACAGTCTTGGAGTCAGAATATACATGACATRAAATCAGTTCAGTAATTATTTTTAAATTACCAAAATAGCACAAATAGAGGAAATTTCTTAGGAACACTGGTACAACTCATTTCTCTAAAACAGATTTTTTTTACCAGAAAATTCCAAAAAAAAGTGTCTTCTTTATTTTTCATCCCTGTTCTTACCCTTRTTTTTTCCTGAACTTCCATCTTCAATGATAACTATCAGAGGTTGTGTTTCCTTCTCAGTTTGATGTGAGATGCTTTAAAATATTTGATTTAATCCTGAACCTGGCCTGAACACCGACGAGAAAATTTAGTCAGAATTTGTCTGCATTGTGAATTTACAAACTGATGACTTTATCCATCAGTGGTTTGAACTTCCCCCTCAACATGATTCAGTTCTTTAGAAATACATAAAAAAAACTCTAAGTCTTGCTGCTTCAGCAAATAGTGGAAGATATGATCCACTGCCAAAATAGCCAAAAAGAAAAAAAAAACTGCAGAACAGCTTTAAATATTTTCTTCACAATGCGAGTGCACAATCACCTTGACAAYTTTAAATACAATAAAAATAAAAGCAATTCTGTTATTTTTCTTCTCTCAGTTAGTATAGTTTTTTGTTTGAAGTAGCCTCAGATTTTTGTTTTTATTTTTCATATATAGCTCTGTTGGACCTGCCGGTGCAGCCCGGTGCGACGGAGGTGTTGGGTTTCGGTCAGACAGCCAATGCATCACCCAGCGGTCTGCCTTTCCGCTTCTATGAGCAGTCGAGACGAGCGCCCAACGACCCCACGGCAAACAGATCTGTGTTCGCTTCTGTTGACAAAGTACCAGGTGACAGAGGAACACGTTGCTTTCACTTTCCAGTGGTTTCAGAAATGATCCTGATTCTAAGAGCATGAAAAAATGGTCAGAATTCCCTCTTTCACACCCACYTTTTGTATGCAAGAGCACTGACTAATTGTCCTGGTCATCAAATCAACTTTTGATCTTATCAAATTAGTGGAAATGAGTCTGATTTGATCTTTTGCGTCAAAGTGCAACAGTGACAATCTTGTTCCTATCTACAGGTGAGGTTTTTATGTAGAAATGCATCCCCTCAGATTACAGCTGAAAAGTCCCCTGTACTTTATCATTTTCTAACAATTCGTGCATTTATTTTAAAGATTAGTTTGTAAGTTCACATTTTTTTATTCTGTTGGAGTTGAAAATTGAGACAAAATTGCACCTACAGTGGGGAAAATAAGTATTTAGTCAGTCACCAATTGTGCAAGTTCTCCCACTTAAAAAGATGAGAGAGGCCTGTAATTGACA